GCATGCCACTTATATCATTGTGATGAGTTATGTTTTCAGGATGCAGGGCTGACACCTAAAGGGCCGCGGGTTGCCCACCGCTAGTTTAAACTTGGTTTGATTAGCTCATAATATAATCTTAAAAATCTTTAGCAAACAATAAAATTTATCACTATAAGCTATATATATATCTCGTTTCTGATCAGTTATATGATCCTCCGATCAGTATCAATGTATATATATATATATATCAGAAGAAAACAACAATGACGACTCTACGTGGTACGAAATATGTCCAAATTACATACCGATGCGAACTTCATACAGATCGTTCAAATTCTTACAAAAACTATGCTTTATTGCACAATATATGGCTTAAAAATCACAAAATTGCAAAAGCGGTAACAAGTAATCTGGAAAATCGATAACAAGTTTATTGTTTTTAATACGGCAAACATTGAACTTTGAAGCCAAACACGATTTCCTGAGTACGTCGCCTGATGTTAGAGTATATAGATTATTTCATGTTGTCCAATATCTGGAAGAAGTACATGAGTATTCGTGTAAGAGGAGATCGAAGAAACACATAAAAGTATTTTTCAAACACACCCAACTTCTGTGTTATCGGTTCATTTGTTGAATACAATAACAACAAAGGTTTTTTGGACAGAAAACGTTGTAATGACTAAATGCTTTCAGCTGTATGCTGATTGAAAATACATTGTTATGAATAACTATGTTCCTTATATCAACGTATTTCAGCGTGTTGTGCTTCAAAGATTGTAGTCATTTCATGTTTTCTAAGAACAGTTGGTGGCTAGACCCTGCATATTTAACACCATCAGGAAACACTTACGGTTTAGGTTTAAGGTGGGTGTTCATTCACAGTATTTCTAACAGTGTTGTATGCAAGTTTATTTAAACACTATGTAGCTTTTGCACTCACACACCTTATGCTGAACACAAAACAATTGTTAAGCGATAAAGAAACAATAATTATTATGTTGTTATGGGCAACGGCCATTTCTTAACGTAACATTAAATATCTTAGTTATACGCCAAAAGTTGAATGAATAAAATATCGAAAAGAGAGAATATTAATTTATAAGTTTCTTTAATAAGGATATTTTATTTTCAGTCGATTGCACAACAAAATGTAATTATTTTTAAAAATAAAATTAATGTACTCTGGATGTCACTATGTAGTATTTTTTTATATTCCGAACCTAATGCATAACTAAGTGAACTGAAAGCTGTTAACTAGCAGTGAGATGCAATTTATTCAACTTTTAAGGCACTGATTAGCTTAAAAATAAAAAAGTGATCAATTTAGTAGAATTCGTGACACTATCATGGATTTGAGCGTAAATTGTTAAAATGAGAAAAACGAAATAGTACAAAACATTAAAAACAAGATCAACGTTTAAAATGCACAATAAAATTTTTATTTGGCCTACGGCCAAAATTAAAAAAACTACATGTTTGGGTAGCTTTACCCTACCACTATGAGGAGTAAAAACTTACATGACAAGCAGGTAATTTTATAAAGTAAAGGTTTAACTCATTGTAATCTTTGCGGGTGGTGTGAGTATTGTACATAAGAAGTTAATATTTATTTCCAAAACTGTGTATTTTCACACTTGCTGATTATCTAAACAATGTTGATCCTTCTAACTCCATTTTGTTTACGTATGAGATTGAACAAGATAATTGTTTAACATTTTTAGACGTTCTTGTTAAAAGAAATAATAATGGAACTATTTCCACAACTGTTTATCGGAAACTAAATTTAGTCTCCATTTCGCCACATCAAAGATCATGTCATCCATCTTTACATAACTTACCAACTTTCCATACATATATATAGACCGAGAATTTATGCAGCAAAAGTATATTGGTCAAACTAAACGTAATTTTAAATATCGTCTTAATGAACATAAAAGTTATGTACGTAAAAAAAAAGAATATTCTTCTTTTGCTGAACATATTGTCGAAACAGATCATTCAATACAATGGCACGAAACAATAATTTTTAACGAATTTAATAGCCAAAGTGAAGCAAATATTGGAGAATCAATATAAATTTTGTGCTGTAAAATAAATAATCCTTTGTTAAATAGAGATGGAGGGTTAGTTGGTGACAATGCACAATTTTGGAAAGAAATATTAATTTCTTATATAATTACTCATACCACCTTCATAGATTACAATGAGTTAAACCTTTGATTTATAAAATTACTCGATTGTTAAAAAATTTGTTTAAAAATTTTGTTGTGCATTTTAAACGTTCATCTTGCTTTTAATTTTAAAATTTATTGCACAAGTTAGCGTAATTGAATCCAACATTAAAGTTTATTGTGGTTTTGCTTTCGAAAGACACTAGTTAAATTCGCGTTTGACCAGATAGTTAGGGCGCTTGCTTCGCAATCTGAGAGTCGCGGGTTCGAACCTCTCTACTACCAAACATGCTCATCCTTTCAGCTGTGGGGGCGTTATAACGTGACGGTCAGTTCTACTATTTCTTGGTAAAAGAGTAGCCCAAGAGTTGACGGTAGGTGGTGATGACTAGTTCGTTCCCTCTAGTTTTTCACTGCTAACTTAGGGACGGCTAGCGCAGATAGCCCTCGTGTAGCTTTGGGCAAAATTCAAAAATAAACAAAAATTGATTTTGGGCCTTTTAAAACAAAAGTTTTATGTTTTTACAAAAGTAATACTGGAATTTTTATTACTTATTATTATTATTTGTACAAAATGTTATATCAGTTTCTGTAGCAAGTATGGTAGGGCCTTAAATCAAACACTAATCAAGTATTATAATTATTTTGACTGGCACAATTTTCTTTTACATCCTCTGAATAACAAAAACGAGGAAACTGAAGTAAAAGAATTTTTGTCATGGTATAGTGAAAATTCAAATCACTGATTATATTTGAACGTGCGATTATACGAAGTTTAGATACGGAAGGTTGAAATCAAATGACATCTAAAGCAATAATTGAAATGGAATAAATGAGAAAAACACTCTAAACCCACGTTATAAGTGAAAATCTGACAAAATCATGTCAAGCATATTCTGTTTCAGGACTTCCTGCGTCAGTGAACCACGTATTCAAGGTGAATTTCACTATGTTCTTACTAGACAATAGAGATGGAATAGCTCACTAGTTGAATGTTTGAAATCGATTGTCTTATAAATTCAATGTATCATGTGCTCTACATATTTCTACAGTCTAAGTTTCATTTTTAGTAAAAACAACAACATAACTTTCGGAAAATTTATCTAGAATCTTCAATATCAGTAGTAATACTATTAAATTATATTGTCTAAGGATTATATTGAGTGTAAGAATATTTTCTAGACAATAATAAGTAACTACTTCAATCTGTATTAGTAATCATTACAAGTTTCCAATATTGAAAAAGGTAAAAGAGTTTTGTTTCATACCAAAATTATGCCCGAAAAATAAAACGAGAAGAAATTGCAAGTATTTACCAAATTTCGGGAAGCTTTGGCTATTTTTGTATAAAATTTTATTAACTGATAGACTTTTATAATTTAAATAAATCCTTTTACTGCAATTTTAACATATCGGAAGTTAGAATTTATATTGAAACGATATATTTTTCATCATGATTTCTTCTAATGGCCAATTATCGCAATATTTAGAAGGAAATGTTTTATGACAGTAATATCATAATACGGTTACTTTTTGTACACTATTGAGACTAGTACAAAGACCTATAGTCTATAAAATTACATACAAAAATGACTATATAGATATACTGATGGAGGAAACAGAGAAGGTAGCGAAGTTCCAACACGTTTCTTTGAAACCTAAAACTTCCCAAATGAACAAAAATGTCATTTCATTCAAACATCAAATGTCTTTCTTTGTTAAAAATAAAATTTCTATTTCCACACAGATAGTTATATAATTATGACTGAAAGACTGGCGTGATATCACCCACATTTTGAATACAAACATTCATTTAGAGTTTCCCTAATTACGACTCACAATTATAATATTTTAAACATTTCACATAATGAAAGACTCAGTGTCTAAGTATGCTTGCTTGTGTTGTGAGTTAAATAAACCCAAGAAAACTTTTAACAATTATCTGTGTGTTTCTTATTAGCACTTTTTTTTTCCTATAATGTATTACGGTTTCGTGATCTTAGTTTTCTGTTACTTTATAGAACAGGTTTTACACGAATCAGTTTGATGCATATTAAATATATAATTTGAAAGCTGTGAAATGTTTTAAAGTTAACCGTTTTAAATAATTCAATTTTGCAATGGCAAGAGTCACATGCATTCATTTCTGTTACCGACTAATTTTTATCAAATTAGGAGACCTTCTGGAAAATTATTGTTTAACAGACGACTGGGGTAATGCAGTTCGATTTACTTTTGCAGTCATGATCATGCTTGTCTATCCGACTGAATGCTTTGCTTCCAGAGAGGTCAGTTAGTCTTTATTTATATTATATCCGATATTCACGTATTCTTAGTGTCAGTGAGACACTTTGCTTCACTTCTACCTTAAATCGTTTAATTTATGATAACATGCATTTGTGTTGGGATATAAATGAAATTATTTTAGAAGTATGTATATATATAGATATATACATATATATATGCAACGTGATCTTAATATACTCTGAGTTTCAAAAACATTTAATAACTTAAGCATATTTTAAAAGTTTGAACTCTTATTGCTGTCATGAAATAGTTCATCAAGATTGCTGTTGGTCTGTATACTTAAGGAGGCAGAGATCTGAAAGCTATCGAAAAATTAGTTATAATTATTCTTATTTTTTTGAGATTTGAAAGTTGATCTTATTTTAAAGCAAAACGAAATTTAAATATTTTGATTTTCAGTGATCATGAAGACAACATTAAAAGAACAAAAAAAAACTGAAGAGTATTCTAGTTTAACATACAGACAACCACGAATAGTTTATATTTCTTAATAAAATGTTAAAAAATTTATTAGAACTTGACGCTAAATGTAAGCTTCAGTAATGATATCGGTCTGTTTTTTTCCGTAAATTCCTAGCTGTCTCTTCCCATTTTTTCAGGACAAGAAAACTTCTTTTCTCATGAAGAAGTAAAAACAAATTGCTCGCATTTCTTGGAGTTCGTTATAGGACACTCCAGGTCTTCCACACATTGTTGCTTTTCATGCTCCATAGACCTATTCCAGTTTCAGTAACGCAATGCGTTATTAGAACATGCTAAAAGAGAGTTCGTCGGATGCTCCAAATTATTTTCTTTTTCTTTCTTGGGTTCTAATATGTCATCGTTCTTGGTTCCTGGAGTATATTAGAACTCGTCAGATTCAAAGAATTTTTAGTTTTTTAGGATGTAATGATTACTCGTGTTTTGGCTTTGGAAGCTTAGCAATTTTACAGGTTCTTTTGTTGTTAATTAGAAGATAAAATTGGCTATGTCTGTTAAGTAGGTGTCTTCTCTCCTAGACGCTGTTGTTAAGAGCTATCATCAGCTCTTTTCTTATTTCGTGGTTTAAGAAAATATTAAAACTTTCCAGCTCTGCATATATCTTTTACTCTATTGTTTCCAGATGTCTAGCCTAATTCTTAAGTTCTATAGGTACATAGTATCTTTTTTTTCGTGCAATATAATAGTAGACATGTGGGATATACTATTTTTGAATTTGAAAGTCCAGCATGACTCAAAAACACAAATTTTAGAAAAATAATGAGACTACCAATTCCACAGACGCCTTCTGCATCGCCTGTTGGACTTTTATGAGACATTTTATATCTTGCCTGTTAGTGTTCTATTAGGATATGCCAGTTCCAAAGACGTTTTATTTCTTGCTTATTGTGTTCTATATGATATGGCAGTTCCATAGACGTCTTATTTCTTGCTTGTTGATATTTTATAGAACTCACCAGTTTCATATGTGTATGTATAATTTTGTGCCCGTTTACAATTTATAAGACTCGTCGGTTTCAAAAATGTCTGGTTTCTTGAACCAGTTCTACAATGGTTTTCTGACTGGCTTATTTGAAACTAATACATTATCTAGTTACTGTATTAAAAACTCCCCTAGTTTCAGATTTAGACTACATTTTGCCATAATAATAGACTGTACAAGGAATAACATAGACTTCACAAGATAACGAAAGGTGTCTTGTTTGAATGTAGCCCATTCATTAAATAATATGATCTGCAGTTGCTTCACAGTCGTCAGCAGAGTATTACATGACAAAGGTGATGTTTAAGTTTATTATAAAGATTCTGAAACACCATGGGATCAGGTGACTATGAAGATGACGGAAATCACTGTGATGTCTTTTGAATAAATTCCAAACAATAAGAGCATGGTGGATTATTCGTTTTCGTAAGGCCCCTCGTCTATCAGGGCCGAAATACAGCATTGTATGATAGAATTAATTAGCAATTACCTTCAGGTACTCTCTGGTTATTACCCAGCCTTCCAAATAATCAAAAGATCGAACTGCTGACATGAGAACGTTTTTCACATCATTATACCACCACGAGTTTATTTGTCGATCTTTTCTTTTAGCCGAAGAGGTAGTAAAACAATATGTTTAATTTTTAAATAATTATAGGATGTAAAAGCCTACTTTAAGACTTTCTAATCATAACTGCGGATTTTAAATAAACTTTTGTTATTAGTTATCACTTTATTTTGCTTTGTTTTAGGTCAGTAAATTATTGCATATTTAGAAAGTGTGTATATTTTGTAGGTAATTCAGAATACGTTTTATAGAGACAAGGAGGACAACTGTCTTAGGCACACTGTCATAACTGTTTTGCTGGTGGCCCTGGCATTTTTATTTTCAACACTCACTGATTCCTTCGAAATTCCTTTACAAGTTAATGTAAGTTGATTAGTTGGTCAAGATAAAAATTGTTTGCAATGATTGTCTGTAGGAGTATTATTAAGGAGTAATATTATTAATTATTATTACTTTTGTGTACTGAATATGACTGTATTTCAAGCAAAAAAGATTACGTTTGGGATTAAGTAAACACAATGAGAACTTTGCGCAGTGCTCACCGCACGTATCGAACCTCGATTTTTGGCATTATCAACCCTAAAGTTTACCGCTGAACTACCATTGGGCAATAAAAATATATTATGCAATACAGAACACTTGGAAGGTTAAAAACATAATATTTTCATCTTTCTAGCTTGATTGTTTTTCTGATTATGAACATAAATATAGCAAGATTATTATTTGTTTAGTTTCTTAACAGTGTAGTGGTGTGCAGCTGCTTGTGTTGTTTTCAGTATAGTGATGTTTATTATTGATCGTATTCTACAGCAAATGACTCTCAGTATTGCTTTATCATTTTACTTTAAAGCATATTCTGCTCTTTCACTCTAAAAGATACCTGAAGGAAGGGATTCTTAGATTTTGCATGAAACACTCATTGTTGTTTTCTTAGTGCAAAGCTATAGAATGGACTATCTATGCTCTGTCCATCGCGGAGTCAAGCCCCAGGTTTCAGTGTTTTAAGTCCGTAGATTTACCGCTGACTCATCGGGAAAACTCAAAATAATAGGTTTCGATAATAGCTGAAAAAAATAGTATAAAAAGCAGTTATAACAGTCACTTATCTTTGTAAGCTTAAGAACTATCTGTTGTAAAATTTAACCGTTATTAAAACTTAACGTCATATGTGTTTTTTGTGGGAAGTCGAAAGTCGCCTCAAGTTACACAAACACACACATACAAGCGTCAAAAAAGCTATGCAGATATCACTTTTAATAAGCAAAATTACTCGAGATACCTTTGTTAGCCGTTCCAATTTTGAAGTGATAAACTAGAGGGAAGGCAGTTAGTCAAAACCACCCACAGCCAGCTCTTGTGCTGTTCTTGTCAGATAGGATAGTAGGATTTGACTGTCACTCTTATAACCTCAGCTATACCGTCCATCACACTAACCACTGCGCCGCGTACGGCCCAACCACTTTTCTATGGAGAAAATTCTAGCTCAGTGGAAATAATGTCTTAATTTTCATTATAGTGGTCAAACCACAATCACATTTTTTTAAGTCAAGGTGATAAAAAATACGTTCGTTAGAAATAAAACAAAATTACAAATAGTTATAAAAACTTTTAACTGAATAAAATGTGAAAATAGCATCAACTCCACAATTTTAATGCGTTGAAAAATATTGCAATAATATTCTCGTTCTACCGAGAAACAATTTACATTTTAATAACTTACTAAAACTGTCTATAAAGTTCCTTTCGGGAACTTATCTCAGAATGGACTCTTTCTCATTATGCTTGAAGGTTTATTCTTGAAGATGTAAAAAAAAAAAAATTTAACTTCAGTTATATTCATTATGCGTGAAACTACATATACATTTTCCACAAATATACTGTTTAGGTACAATATCCAGAATGTGCACAAGTTAAAAGGTTGAGTCATGAGCACATGAATAAACGCCTTAACATTGCAACTCAAAATATATAATTGTAATATGTGTATCTAGAGAAAAATTATTTATTACTTTGATTGGCATGAAATATTAAAGTTTTTACGAATGTCTTCAAGCGATTTAGTTTAATCCTAATTAACATAAGTTGAGAAATAATAATTTTTGAAACACATCGTGCACATAGATACACGTATTTTACTTTTCGTGGAAAGTACGATTCTCGAGGGGTGAAGTCATTTGACCAATATATCACGTAAATATTTAACCATGAGTAAGATTTTCTATGTGTTGAAGTGACTTATATTTTCTAACATATATATCCCCCGATGGGTTAATGGCAAATTTACCGACTTACAACCCAGATAATGGCTGGAGACGGCTTGAATGGCTTCATTACCCATTCAAGCCGTCTCCAGCCATTATTAGTCTCAAAGTGGGTTCCTCGTCATCGAATTACAACCCAGATATTCGGAGCTCGATATACGGTGGTAGATCATTGTGTATAAAACAACATTAAACAAAAGTCTGATTATATGACGCTTGTTTATATTACTCGATACAAGAACGAAACTTGATAAAAAATAATCTTTTATGTTAAGGCTCTGAAAGTATACATAACTTAGTAATAAATTAAGTACTATTGTGATGATGTCCAAAAAAGTCTTAGAAATGTTAGACCATTATTTTCATACATTAAAATTTACAGTTTAATAACCTGAAAGAACTGATTAAATGTACTATTTTTTGTTTCAAATACCTATATTAAGTTTTTTGAGATAATGCTTTAAAAGTTAGTTACAGAAAAGTTTGATTATCAAACGTGTGAACCGCACGCGAATAATAAAAACATCTGATATTCAGGTGTGGTGTACATGGTTGATGATAGACAATTGATCGGCAATGGTAGCAATATGGAAGGGGAAAATAAGTAACAATAGTATCTTAGTTAAAGATTTTTTCACAAGTACACAAATTGTTAATGAAATACGATATGGTATTTCAGAATTTGAGACGAAAACTCAACACTTACATGCTAGTTGTCACACAATCACAATAAACGTTTTGTTTCTCATACTTTCATTACAAAACAACAATTTTTTCATTCATTGTATATATATATATATATTTATTGTACACGTAGCAATGTTTGGTAAACCTTATTTACTCTTTATCAAGAAACGCGAGAACATTGGTATCTGAGTTATTCCAAAGAGTAAAATATCATTAAACTGAATATATTTTAATTAATAGGATGCACTCTATACAACGTATATTTTACATTTGTAGGGTATACTGACGAGTATTCCACTGGCTTACGTACTCCCTGCATTAACATACATCCGTACAGAACAAGGACGACTCCTATCACCCAGAAAATTACCAGCCATGGTTCTAGTGTTGCTGGGCTGCATTGGGATGATTTGTGGTACCGTAGCAACCATCTTAGAAATTTCGAATAATGTCATTTGTAATAATGATGCTGAGATGCTATACTGCAAAGAAAATGGTTTGTTCTCTATTGCTAACGCAACCGAACCAACAAATGAAACATTTTACTAATATAAAATGATAATTTCAGTAATTATTGATTGTTGTAATATCTGTTTCCAGTATAAAAATAACATTCTAAAGTTTTAGCAATTTTTATATTATGTTTAATCGATTGAATATTTCAAACTATGAAGTGATAATTTCATTTTTTGCTGTTGCTATCAATTATATGTAAAATGTGTATGTACTTACAAATATAATAAAATGTTTTAGTTTCGTGAGACGTACTGGTTTTGATGAATATTCTTTGGATATAATGTATACATATTTTTAGCACTAATGGTTAAAGAATACAGAAAGTAAAGCAAGATGCTAATACAGGTTATCAACCTGAAGGCAACGTCGAGAGAGTTGATTTTTTCATGAAACTGAAATTAAGCATGAAGAAAACCCAACTGAATTGTTTTATGTTTGCTCAAATAATTAGGCTTAAACATTTTAAAAACTGTGTATGGAGATTTTAAATATAAAATATATGTTTAATTTAAAAAAAAATGGGTAAAAGACGGAAATATAAAACGAGAGTCCAAATTATTGAGTGAGATTTTTATATTAGGTTTAATTTGATTTTCTCAAACCTCTCACTACCACTTACCGTTATTAGACGGTGATGGGTTGGTAGGTTTTTCGAATGGAACAGGAAAAAAATAAATAAAATTGAACAAGTTATTCACTGAGATGAAAAGCAAAACTAACCTCCTGAGCTGGCGTTACAATCTCCATTATGGTCACATACTTGTATAACACAAAATAAAACATAAGATGAGTTGTAAAATAAAAAAAGGTAAAATGGTTTGTTTGTTTTGAATTTCGCACAAAGCTACACGAGAGCTATCTGCGCTGGCCGTCTCTAATTTAGCAGTGTAAGACTAGAGGGAAGGCAGCTAGTCATCACCACCCACCGTTATTTCTTGGGCTACTCTTTTACCAATGAATAGTGGGATTGATTGTTGCTTTATAACGGTCCCACAGCTGAAAGGGCGAGCATGTTTGTTGGAACGAGGATTCAAACCCGTGACCCGCAGATTGCGAGTCGAGCGCCCAAACCACATGGCCATGCCTCTCCGGGTAAAATGGAATTTACTTCCATAATTCCAGCAGCGTAGTACGCAACACCCAACATCATCCATGACCATTATGCTAGCAAAGTTGGCACTACTTGTGTAAACTGATTAAATAATGCGTACTACTTTAAACACATGATTTCCTCGTACCATATATTAAATTAATCTTGAATGACTAGCACGTAACTATTATGTTGTTTTTTTAAAAAAACGAGGATATATTATTGTGAAATGGAAATGAAATATTTTTTTATTCTTTCATTATCGATATTCTCAATGGTTTTTTTAAAAGTGCAGCCCTGAAAATTGTTGTATGGTTGTGATGGAAATTCTGTGCAATTCTAATTGTAATGTGCCACGTCGTGGAAGATTTGTACCGAACATATGCCATAATAAATGTCATTATTAAGCAGATTGGTTAACTGTTTTATTTATGTTATAAACGTTGTATAACGTCAATAGTTGTAGTTGGAATTACTCAAGGTGCACCCAATTACCATGCCAGCAGTTAAATCAAAACTGAAAAAATACATGACAGTGATAACATAATAGTTACATTACTTTTTTAGGATTTTGGTGCTCGATAAAGTACGTTTACATATATTGAATTACTTTATCATAGTCACGTAAGGAACAGAAAAGTGTACTTATTGATATTTCATAATGTAAATAAATTGCATAGTACGCAAATAAACCCTAAATAGGCATTCTTGAGTAGACAAAATACAAAAAAGCATAAACGAAAAGAAAACTATATCAACATTGATTTTATGAAGGTTGTCAACAAATATGATCTCTTTGCTTTTACCTTTAACTTCCAATCTTCTTTGTCTGAGACTTCAGTCGCAGAGCTTCAATTTCGCAAATGATATAAACGCTTTAGGGAAGATATTCTTGAAATACTGTTGCCCCTTACCTATCTTGTTGTATCTTGTTGCAACAGTCTCTGCACTTAATCCACTGCGTCACAGCTGGCCATGGACCTATGATACTAATGGTGGCACGTTTTAGTGTATGTAGATATATAGACTTTTGGTATCCACATCCCTTGATCATCCAGGGTAATTCAGCGCATTACTCCAGCTGTAATCCACAGCTATCCTTGATCATCCAGGGTAATTCAGCGCATTACTCCAGCTGTAATCCACAGCTATCCTTGATCATCCAGGGGAATTCAGTGCATTACTCCAGCTGATATCCAAGGCTATCCTTGATCATCCAGGTAAATTAGGTGCGTTACTCCAGCTGATAAGGCAGTTCACATCCACACCACGAGGTTTGGTGGCCTAACTTCGAGCAAGGGTGATTATTTGGTTTTTGTAGCACATTGAAGCTGCAAAGAAGCTAACAAGTTGAAACAAGTTTTTCAAAGTTCTTCCATTTGAAACACATCGTTCTTTATTGATCAGTACAGGATTTTAGTAAGAAGAATGTTAATAACATTTCAGTTGTTTGTTCGAGAGCAAAGCCACATTGCTATCAGCTGTGTCCACCGTGGGAAACCAAACCCGGGATTTCAGCGTTGTAAGTACACAAACTTACAGTTGTGCCATCGGGGACAATATTTCAGTTATACCTTGTTACATTGCTGTCGACTAGTTCTCTTGGCAGTTGCTCAATACCAGAATTACACACTGTGTAAGAAGTAGCGATGTGCATCAAATCGCATCAAAGTATAGTTGAAATGTTATGATAAAGTCATTTTATTGGAAACCAGTAAAGAGAAATGTGTTCAATTATTTCAGTTTTATTGTAATCTAATCTTGCACACCTATTAAAACAATAATCTCCTAGTGAGTAATCCCATGTTTTTATCGTCAGTTTGTTCTTCTAGTGACTAAAAATACAAGAATAAAAAGTATAAACGTTTGCTTATTTGTTATTTAGCGCAAAGCTGCACAATGAGCAATTTGCGCTGTACTCACCTTAGGGATCAAACCATAAACTCTAGTCCTCAAATCAAATCTTTAGTTTAAAAGCAAACATACATTATACATTTTTAAAGATTAATTTAAGTAGTATTTCTTGCAGCCGATTAGGAGAATGGTAGTATAAATTGTAAAACTAAAAGGTGACAGTTGTGGATATGGTGATCTTTTAGCTTCGAAGGATATATTATTTTAAAGCATTTTCATTTTCTACTGCCCTCATCCACGTCGCTCAGAGGTATGTCTGAAAGTTTGTAACGCTAAAGGCCGGGTTTTGATACCCATGGTAGGCACAGCACAAATAGCTCATTGTGTAGCTTTGCGCTTAACAACAAACAAACAATTTTCCATTCTTACTTTGTTTTATATAAACATTGTTGCTACCTAGATTTAGTTGCTAGGATACTGTGATTCAATAACATGGAACATTAGAAAACGCCTTAACTCTAAGTTAATTGATTATGCATGGGTAAACAACAAAACAAATATTTTATCATGCGAAAGAACTCTAGTAACTCGAACTTTCCATTAATACTTATGCACGTCCACGCTGTATCGGTGTGAAACATTTTAAATACCTAACCTGAGGAACAGGAGTTCATACTTAACGTGTTTACTCTAGTTAGTTGAACGAGTTCAAGACTCTAAGTATGTATGCAAAATATGCTTTCTTATAAAACCGCTTATTTTGATGTCAATACTCAACTCGTTAACGTAAAATATGCTTCTTGAGGTTTCAGGTTTTTAAGTCAAACATACTTCTAATGATATCAGGTGAGATTTTATAAATGAACCACTTTATGTGAATATGAGAAGATTTTACAAATAAACATAATGGAGAAAAAATTATATTTGATCAATGATTTCATTGGCTAGTGAAGTCGCTAAAATCAAGCAAATTTCTTCTAAGTAATGTTTCTCAAACTGGGGTCTGCTAGTCATGTCCGAAATTTCAAAAAAATTGGTGATAAATATAATTTATAGAAAAAACACTTTTTTCGTAAAATTAAATGTATAAGAATTAAACATTTAATTTTGGAATACAGTTTTTATGTTTTTTTTTCAAAACAAATATCATCGATAGGATTGGAGGTCCGCGAAAAAGTTTTAAATTATAAGAGGTCTTCGGCTTATTAAAGTTTAAGAACCTCTGCTTTAAGTTATTCTTGTAATAACCAATAAATTAAAAAACATTATTCATATATAAAAAATATATCATTACACAAATGTTTCAAGCATAAATGACGCATACGTTTTCTATCTTTTTAGCATTTTTCGAAGGCATAGCATATTTCGTTGATTTCTAACGGTATTTGGACCCAAAGTTATGAAGCGATCTTTTCAAATTTTGGAGTGTATGAAACAATTAATCCCGTACGTTTACAAATGCAACACATTGTATTGTTTAAAATGTATATTCACGATTTCGTATGTTTCACTACATGTCAGCTTAGCTGGCCCAGCGATTAGTGTACCAGACTATGTTTCTGTGTTTCGCGTCCCGTTACCTAAAAAATAAAAAAACAATTCACGTTATGCACTACGGGGTCATGAGTTCCTTATAAGAGTATCTGTGAAATTTCACTATTCGGGGTGACAAGAGCAGCCAAACAGTTGGCGGTGTGTGTTGATAACTCGCTGCCTTCCCTCACTTATAAATTATGGACGATTAGCGTTATAGTTCTCGTGTAGCTTTCCGAGAAATCCAGATGTAACACGTTTTCTGTGTAAGTTTAATGACTGCTTGCATTTACTTTTGAAGGTCGCATAATGTTGGCGTTACATAAGTTCAAACTAGCTGAAATACCCGTCTTCTGGACGGAAGTTATGCAAATTCATGATTGATGAAAGGTTCTCTAAGGACATGAAAAGTTGCTTCCCTGATATATAATTGTGAAAAACACAAAAACGCTCATAAAAACAGTAAATAACAAAATGTAAAATCACAAATTTGCATGTATATCCGCATGAACCCAACAAACCTTCATGTTAAATTTGATGAAGATCCATCAACAGG